GTTTCAACGAAACGTCAAAGTTGTTACTTCTCACAGATAAGAGGTAAATGGCTAAATTTTATGTTTAAAATTATAAATTGTTGTTGTTCTTGTGCTCTTTTTACGTTTATATTATTGTTTTGATTGAAAATGGCTCAGCAAGCTGCAGGTATGTATTGTACAAAAACGTATTATTTATTTTGATATTCTCTATACTAACGATTTTTTTTTTCAACTAAAAGTTAGGCGTTCAGAAAATTTGATTAAATTTGTGACATTTTTATTATACTTAGAGATTTAGTTGCGCATTTCGAAGAATCCAGCATATTGTCTATATACGTTTTACTTAGTAAACATTGGGCTTTCATACAGTAAAATAAAATACTGCAACTTTTTGCGACTTTGGTGATAAAATGAGAAAAACATTCTTGGTTTCCTCTAATTTGCCAATCAGTGATATACTAATGCGAGGTGTAAACCGCGTTGGCATTGTTATTGTACAAGCGATCGCATTAGTGCCATTAGCAGTATAGCACAATTTGGCATTAGTAGCGACTTTAGTGGTATGGGCATTGCTCGCGGATCAGTCATAGCATTAGTAGTATTAGTTGCGATATTACTACTGGCATTAGTGGCATTGACCGTGGAAACACTGGAACAGTGATTTTTCTTTCTTTTTTTAGAATCGACAAATTATCCTTTATTTTGTTCATATTATTTCCTATTTAATTGAGAATAGCAATAATTTATATAAGGTCTACATAAAGAAATTTCGATCAACTATCTGTCAAATACCGCACTGTGCGGCGCAGAGCTAAACTAAATCTCGGACATATAACGGTAACACTAACTAAATCTCGGACATATTTGGTGTCACGAAATCGCCTATAAGGTTGCCCATCTTCTTATTTCTTTAATCAACATTACCACGGTTATCTTAACTTCGAGAACCTCCAAAAGTTTGGCGTTTAACTCTCTTTTTTAAAGTTGAGTCCTGAAAGATACCAACTTTATTAACACTCTTACTACATTAACTCCAAGAAAATTAACATTATCCTGAATAAAAGTTTAACCCAAATTAAAGCTGCAAAATGGCGTTTTCCCAATTCACTTCCACTTAGGATCTAAATTATTTACCCATTGGACGTAATTATAGACACGTCTGGGCGGCTATAACGCGTTTGTTTGCTACAATCTGCCCTAATTTTGAGAAGGAACAAGTGGGGAAAATCGTAATTAAGTTAAAACATCAGCTAACGACGTTATGTAGAAGCGGAGGCAGAGACCTTCGGAATGGAGAGTGAAAGTTTGGAAAAGTTGGGCGCTTACGAAAAATAAACTTCGGGGATTAATCGAAAAGAGAAATAAAGAAAAAAAGACTGACTTTTTTTGGAAGTTATAAATAGCCGAATATTGAATTTATGAATGTTTTAAAATAATACATTTATATGTTTTTTTTATAATTTCTTGAAGAATTTATTTTGGGAGCAATTAACTTGGTTTTTGTAAGTAATAATAAATTAGTATTATGGGTATATGAAAAAAAATGCAAAAGATAGTTTGTACTGGGTAAAGAATAAAACATAATATTGGACTTAATTGGGTTTACTAGGCAAAATTCAATTATTAACAGGAAATATTTCAATTACCATATAAATTTTAAAATAATACCGGGTGCGTCTCAAAAGTGGTTCAACCCTATAACTTTTTTATTTTTTCAGAAAAAAAAACGAGATTTGGTATGTTAGTATATGAAATAAATTAGGATTGAATGACGTATCCAATTGTTTTCGATCACTTCCTGTTTTATCGGAAATGACTACAACTTTTGATTTTCAAATAACATCCTCGGTATTTTTTTTACTTTATTCGGTAGAAAACGACAGTCTGAATAGAATGACAATATGTCAACTTTTAACATTTTTGCATATGATTTATTTGAAATTGTAACATGCGGTTCATAACGACAATTTGACTCAAAATATCAATTGTATGGTACCAAATTATTCGTAAAAAAATGCCTTTTCCAAATATGCAAGTGAGTAACCCTCGTTCTATTTGAAAAAAACGAGATATAATTAAAAATACGATTTGGGCAACTTTTAACCGGCCAGGACAAGACATTAAAAATACTAGACGATCAAATCTATTTTTCCAAGGCTCCTTGATTAAAAATTTGTGTTTTTAACACAGCCATGGTATTCTAGATTGAAGTGTAAAATACGATGTTCTTTTTGAAGCAAATATGTCAAAAGTTGACATATGATATGTCATTCTATTCAGAAGGAAATTTTCTATAAAATAAAGTAAAAAAAAATACATAGAGTGCCTTTTAAGAATCAAAAAATTGTTGTAGTAATGTCCGGTAAAACAGGAAGTGACCGAAAAGAATCGAATACACCAATCAATTCTAATTTATGTCGCATACTAACATATCAAATATCGTTTTTTTTTATTTAAAAAATGAAAAAGTTATAGGGGCGAGCCAGTTTTGAGACGCACTTGATGTTTTATTAGATTTTAATGCAAGAAGTGAATGGAAAGTATTTTATTATCTTAACATTTTAAGAAGCGTAATAAACTTTTCGATGGTGATTTCAAGTATTTACATTTTTAAAAGAGCTCAGTTACAGGGAAAGCAAGCAAACATAAAATAACAGGTAGCATGTTTGAGATGATAAAATTTGGTCTATATAAATTATTTATACAACAAATTATTTATACATATTATATAGATGCCCATATTTTTGAGAGTGCTATTCAGTTACATCGCACTAATCGGATCAACTGATATTCAAAGTAAACATTTTGCATTTTACAAAAACCTCTCCATGCTCCAAAAACAAAGTATTTAATTAACAAAACTTACATAAAAATTTGTATATTTATAAAATAAAATGTACTGCTTTAGAAATATCGTAACCATATACCTCACAAGCATTTTAAAAGAAACTCTCAAACACTTAAAATTGACTGAAATGGTAAAACATAAAATTCAAGAAAAAAGAAGAATCTTCCGTATTATTTATTCTACATATTGTTTGGTTTGGTTTTCACAACCGATATAAAATAAATTTTATTTTAGGCAAGAAACTTTTTATTTAAGCTTATTTAATGTAAGTATTCTCGTAATAATAAAAAATATATAAACTTCTAAAAAAAAATTACAAAATGGGTTTTAATTATACTTTACAGTTCAGTATATCTCTAAGCTGTGCAATTAAAAGTCTGCAAGCAAAGAAATAGTATATTTTAACAAAGCCAATTTATGTCTGATCTTCATTCTTCCGAAAGAAAAGTAAATTTTATATTTAAGCCGAAGCTACAACCAATATAACTCTCCTATGGTATCAGTATTCTTGTCATGACCAATTAGAAAGTTTTCTCTTTCGCTACATTAGGCTGAGCCGTAAAAAAACTTCAAGTATCAGCAGAGGATTTTAAATTTAATCTGACCAATATTTTTTCTAATAAAATATATTTTAAGAAAGATTTTAAATTGTACAGTATATATTTACCTATACTTATTAAAGTAATTAATATTAATTTGGAAAAAATAAACAAATAAAATTAAAATGTTAGAAAATGATTACCATGTCCAAAAATATTATGTATCTATTTTTTTCATATACAATGTAATATTTAGTTCGATAGAAAAATTTGCATAAATATCGCATCGTATACATGTGTGGTATACCGGGTGTTGCATCGTCGGACGGGACATAGGAAATCCCATGTAAATTTTAATGGGGTGAATTATTGACTTCCCTAATTATTTTAGAGAATAATTCTATTTAAGTTTATTGAAGAGCACTAAAACCCACATTCAAAATAATAACTTTAGATATTTTTGATTAGCTCGTTTACGAGTTATCGCCGATTTCTTTTTAAATATTTCTCCTTTCTTATGGCCCTGTATTTACTTATGAGCATCAGTCAAGGTAAAAGATAACTGTCAAATGAAGTTGTCATTTCAGAAATTTACCTATTTAGTGCTTTATTATTATTGAAAACTCATTCCTACATCGGAAATCTTAAAGATGTATTTATAAATACAAATTAATATGAATTAAAGTAATATAAAGTAATCAATTACAAGGTTAATTATAGTACTATTACAATATTCAATAACTTATTAATTTAGATACTATTAAATTGTTAGAACTTTAGGATTTAAGAAGATGTTGAAATATTCCTTCATCGACTACTAGACAATAACCCAGGCGATCATAAAATTCTCTTCCATAACATTCGCTAGTTGGTAAACTGAAATTCTATTGCATTCGGCAGAAATAGCATTTTTTAACTCATCATAAAAAAGGAGAAATATTTAAAAAGAAATCGGCGATAACTCGTAAACGGGCTAATCAAAAATATCTAAAGTTATTCTTTTGAATGTGGATTTTAGTGCTCTTCAATAAACTTACAAAGAATTATTCTCTAAAATAATTAGGGAAGCCAATAATTGACCGCATTAAAATTTACTTGGGATTTCCTATATCCCGCTCGACGATGCAACACCCGGTATATCGTACATATCACATTGTAAACACGGTTGTCCCAGGGAGAAACACAGTATATTTTTTTTGTAAATATCATTTTTAACATACTTTGTCATTATCTACCCATTGCAATCGTAAAAATATAGATTTACAGCGAAATAACGAAAATACAGACTAAAAAACCCAGTATCTTAAATGTGATCTGTATAAGAAAGCAACTTTTACCCTTAGTTTCTCACAAAAATATTTTTATCAAACACTGTGTTTTTCCTTGGGACAACCGAACATAACGTATGGTTGATCTGAACACTGGACATAGGATATCCCATTTAAATTGTAATAAGGTTAAATATTATCTCATCAGATGATTTTATGCAAAATATTCGCACAATTGCAAGTATAAGGCATTTTTAACTTTTCTGCATTTTATATAACCCTAACAATCATCCAATATTTTATAGAATACAATACATTCATAAACAAACATCTAATGTCAGAAAGAGGAAATTTGTGACTTACCTTTTATAAAGTCGACTGCCATTTCCAATCCATAAGTATCTTTATCACAGTCGTCCAGAATATGTGCTCCTAATGATATGTTGGGCAACAGTCTTCTGTCTGCATGGTTTAATCTATCCAGAGTATACAGCATTGCTTCTAAAGCTTGTACCCCACCCTGGGGCATTATCGGGCCGCACGTTACTGAGTCCTCTCGTTCATGAACCATCATCAAGCCACCCAAAATGATATCGCCTTCCACGACGGCTATTTTCTTAACCGGCCAATGAATCTCTTCGTGATGATGCCGGATCTTGTGAATTTGTGACCTAGTCTCTTCTCTAAAGCCTCGCTTAAAGTCGTTTTCGTTTAGAAATAAGTTGTCGGATTTGATATGTAAGTGATGGTTGGTGAATGATCTTCTGTGTTTTTGGTCGGATAAGCGTTTTCCAGAAGCACATTGTAGAAATGTAAGTAATATAGTTACTATGAGATAACTGTTTGGCTTCATGATGATGTAATAATTGGCTGCATTGACTGTTAAATCGGTGAGTTTTTCATTTCAGATTTAGCACACATTTTTTATAATGAACTGAAAAGATTTATAAGAAAATGTTTATCTTCCTGAATGTAGTATAAAGGTATTGGAATTTCTTTTTTAAATGAATAATGAGTTTGGTTTTACCTCAAGTAGCATTTTTAGACACAAAATCGAAACAAAATATCTGCTGAGAAAAACATTTTTGATACATACGTTTCGTAACATAAATCACTTTTTGTTGGGAAACATTTTACCATAAGTTATAAGATCTTAGTGTCACAAATTTTTCGATACCTTTAAGAAACAGATGTGGCTCACATTTACGGATTTCGTAGCCGTTTTGTGCCTGAAAAGTTTCCATAATTTATTTGATATTCTGTCAAATTTGAGAACATAACCTTACTTTAATTGTTGGGATTTTGTTCTGCATTTTTTGAATTTAAGCATTTTCAAGTTTTTATAGTACTATAATTAAAATTTTATAGTACTATAATTAATTTTTCTTAGGCGATTTTATAATTATTTATTATACGCAGTACAGAGATGGTTTGTTTTAAGAATAAATGTAATAACAACCACTACCCATACCCAATAGAAAAATGTTACCAGCAAACGTTTTTTTTTCTTTATTTCACAATGGAATACATGTTTTTATGTTTTAATTGTGTTATAATAAGTAAGTAAAAATGTTTTAATTATTTTGACTAGAAGTTTTGATTGGCGTTGTTGACAGGTGACTAGTTCGAAATTTGTACACAGGTAGTGCTAAATCGAAACGTTTTGGAAACAAAGTTTCCATTTATTGTCTATTCATTTTCGAAACACAAGTTTTTCTCTTTTTAGGCACAAATATGATATAATTTAGATGATTTGTGTCCGACTCAATGTCAATTTTATAAAATAACGAATTAAAATTCTGTCATGTTGCCTAGTGCTAGAGTTTTTAACTAAAAATATATGTTTTTATTGGCTGTTTTAAACTTAATTTTAAACTCAAAAGAACGCGTTCTACTTACATTGATTTATATATTTTTACTTTCAGAACCATGATATAGAAATAAAAATCTATATTTCAAACAAAAATATTCTGTAGCAACAAATAATGATATACAGAAGGGGCATTACAAATATGAAATCTTGTTATTAAATTAAACTATGAATTTGCTTTTACCAGACATTTTTTGTGCGAGAAAACATAAAACAAAGATTTTAAAACAAAAAAATTTTGGCGGGGGTAGATATTTTGTTGGTTGTTTTAATTTTGAAATCCAAACACAGACATAGACTATTTTAGTTTGGTATTTTGTTTCTTCACATTTAGAAACATTATCTAAAATGTGTGCAAAAATGCTATTTGGGTACGTTATGTATTTTTTTAATTAAAAATCATGTAAGGGTACTTGTATTCCTAAACTCTTTGCTAAAATGAATAAATTTTAGACAACAAAAAACACTGAATTTATAAACTGCCCGAACTTATGTTTTATTTATGTATTTTTTATTAGACACAGAGCGAGCCTTATGCATAGAAATCTTATAATTTACAATCAGTGACATTCGGAAAATTGCTATCCAAAGTTGTTTGCATTTTGTTTCATCCAAAAACAAAAACCGTGAATACAGATAGTGGAAATAAGACATTAGTATTCAGCAACGTCGCATACCCGAAACCACAAAAGGGATACATAAAATAGCTGCGTTCCATTGTGTTTTATATTTTACCTCTTTGAAAAATTATTGAGATCTAAGTGGGAAATTTAAATTGTAAAAAAAACAATGGATTACCGCAGGGATCGGTATTAGCACCCTTGCTTTTCAACCTGTACATAGCCGACATACCAAAAACAATATGTAGAAAGTTCGGATATGCCGATGACTGGGTTATAGCCACCTGACATAGGTCAATGGAAGTTACTGAGCAAGTCTTAACATCTGATTTGTCAGTACTAGCAGAGTATTTTCGCAAACAGTGGCTTAAACCAAACGTTTGTAAAACAGAGGCTTCTTGTTTTCACCTCAATAACAGAGTGGCAAATAGGGAACTTGAGGTATACTTTGAGGGAAGACGGCTCTCACACAACAGACAACCCACATATCTTGGAGTTACGTTGGATAGAACTTTGTCATTTAAGGTCCATCTCACCAAGGTTGCTGCAAAAATACGCACACGGAACAACATATTACAAAAGCTATGCGGCACCACATGGGGATCATCTGCGGCCACTCTAAGAACATCAGCCTTGAGCCTCGTGTACTCAACGGCCGAATACTGTTCGCCTGTCTGGTTGAATAGTGCCCATGTCAACAAAGTGGATATGTCCAGCTGAATATCACAATGCGAATCATCTCAGGGGCTATGTGAACTACGCCACATACTGGTTGCCTGTTTTAAGTAACATACCTCCTCCTAACTTGAGGAGAAAACAGGCTTTACATAGAGAACACAAGAAAATATTGCTAAACCGGGAACTACCAGTACATTGTGACATAGCGGATCTAAATATTAATAGACTCTGCTCAAGAAAGCCACCACTCTCATCAAAAACACTTGGGAATACTGACGAGAACGCAGAGTTCAACTTATATGATGCATGGATGAACGAATGGATGGAAAACGCTCCACCACAAAGTCGGGATTTTACATGTATTTCAGCAGTTCCTCCTGGTTTTGAGGAGCCTCGCAAAATATGGGAAACTCTAAACAGGCTGAGAACCGAACATGGCAGGTGCATGGATTCTCTCTATAAATGGGAAAAGGCCACCACCCCGGTATGTAATTGTGGGGCTCTACGACAGACTGTTCGACATATTAGAGAAGAATGCGCTTTAACGGCATATGAGGGAGATTTTGGAGATTTCCTGAAGGCAACACCAAGTGCGATTGATTATATAAAAAGACTAGATGTTTGTTTGTGACAAGTTTGACATGTTTCAATTTTCGTTCGTATTCTTATTATTAGTATATTTACAGCTGTGATAATAACATGTGATTTTATATGTACTAGAGCCATACGCTAAATAAAAAAATAAATATGCTTCATCAGGCATTTACTTGAAAAATTGTTCAAACTGTATCATTAACATTTATAATAAATAAGTTTTAATGTTTTTTATAATTATTATCAATAGAACAGTTTATTTGTATTTAGTAGGTATTTAGTGCAAAATAAATGTTTTACAAAATATGTTTTTCTCTTTGGTAGTCATCTAAACATGGAGTGCAGTAATGAAAATGCGTGAGTTAAGAAGATCTTAACTCACTCAAAATGCGTGAGTTAAGAGGTTCTTAACTCAATAACGAAGATAAAAAAATTAAACTGTCAATATTCAAAGTAGCTTGATCATAAAACTTTGTATCACATAAAACGGTGTGAGATTTGGCTTGAAAACAGCAACTTGTAAAGCAGAGCAATGTTGTATTTCTCTTAAGCCATTTTTTTTTGTAAAAATATATATTTTTTTTTAAATTTAATCTTAATGCAAGTATACTGCCAAAGCAAGCTGTACCGTAAGATAAAAGTAAACTGCTAGAGCACACCACGTATAAATACTAATAAAAAGTTCTTGTCGGGACGCTGTATTAGCTAATAAAGATAATGGCTAGTATCAGAGAGTATTTAAGGAACACAGTCGCAGGCATCCGCTTTATAAAGCTGAAAGTTATGCGACAGAACGTAAAATTTTAGCGACTACTTCCCAGACACGGTCAGAACTAATGGAGGATGTGGATACTTAAATTGTTTAATAATAGAGGAAGTGCTGGGGAGAAGTTTTCAAACGCTCGGTACGACCTAAGAAGTATTTTGAGAGTTTATTCGTTTTACGCCTTGACTTTCCAGAGAAAACCTTTTTAGATATAGAATAGCTATTTATGTAACAAGTTGCAAAATGAATGTATTTTCAGCACGGGATGCAAAGATTTTTTGTAAAAGCGGACAATTTGAGATTTTCATGCTATTATTATTATTTATTTTTAAACATTTTTTAAAATGTTCTGGTAATCGTTTATTTTTCGTCATTGTTTAATGACAAAGTTGTGTCAGGTTCAAACGTCGCCGTATTTCCTACAAAGTTTTATGAAAAAATGGGTGATAATGACGAGTCTTTGGATATTCAACAAGCTGCTAAAACTCCACTATCCACGTTAGTGCCCGAGAAGTCGAAAAACTCATACGAGACACCACCTACAACAACTTTCAAACCTGGGTCAAAAAAAAAACATGTTGAGAATTTCACAGAAAAGGTATTGCTAACCTATTTCCTGAAGTTATCCAGTACCTTAAAACCGTCAACTCTGTGGAGTAAATATTCGATGCTCTCCGCACCATGATTTACCTGAACAGAAACGTGGATATGAGCAAATTCACAAACCTTATTGCATTTTTTAAAAGAAAACCTTCCGGATATCAGGCGAAGAAATCAAAAGTATTTACAAAACTGGAAATAAAACGCTTTATGAAAGAAGCCGATGACAAAGAATTCCTGTTAGCTAAAGTTGTCTTAATCGTTGGAGTATTTGGGGCATGTAGGAGGGAAGAAATGACGTTTTTGACCGTAGATGCCATTAAAGATT